TTTTTTTCTATATAAATATATCATTGGAAATTAGGAAATTAAAAACATGAAGAAAATTATCAACAAAAATTTGTTGCTATCCAAAGGAAAAAATTATGGCTAACATTTTTGTATATTTTTATAGTCATTTTTCTATGTTCTTATGTTTGGGTATATTTAGTGATTATGTAAGTTTATGCATGCATATATATTCATAATCTATTCATGTATACATATTTCTAATGTTGAAAAGTGTTATGATTATACTTGTAAGTTCTGATTTTATTAATACATCTTTATTGTTCAGATTACTACAGTTGTTCCTCTTTTTTCTCCCCATATCTCCCTTCCACCCAATTCCCACTCCACCCCAAGCTCTTACCCCTTCCCGTCACTGTCCTTGTTCATAGGTGTATGATTTTTTTCCAGTCTCTTCCCTCACCCCCTACATACCTTCCCTCTGAGAACTGTCAGTCCACTCCCTTTTAATGCCCCTCATTCTATTATATTTACCAGTTTATTCTGCTCATCAGATTTTTTATTTACTTGATTTTTAGATTCACTTATTGATAGATATGTATTTGTTGTCACTTCGTTGTTCATAAATTTTATCTTTTATCTTTTTCTTCTTGTTCTCCTTCTTAAAGAATACCCTTCAGCTTTTTATATAATACTGGTTTGGTGGTGATGAACTCCTTTAGCTTTTCCTTATCTGTGAAACTCTTTATCTGACCTTCAATTCTAAATGATAGCTTTGCAGGGTAGAGTAATCTTGGTTGTAGGTTCTTGCTATTCATCACTTTGAATATTTCTTGCCACTCCCTTCTGGCCTGCATGGTTTCTGTTGAGAAATCAGCTGACTGTCGTATGGGTACTCCTTGTAGGTAACTAACTGTTTTTCTCTTGCTGCTTTCAAGATTCTCTCTTTGTCTCTTGCCCTTGGCATTTTAATTATGATGTGTCTTGGTGTCGTTCTCTTTGGATTTCTCTTGTTTGGGGTTCTCTGAGCTTCCAGGACTTGTAAGTCTATTTCTTTCACTAGGTGGGGGAAATTTTCTGTCATTATTTCTTCAAATAGGATTTCAATATCTTGCTCTCTCTCTTCTTCTGGCACCCCCATAATTCTGATGTTGGTATGCTTGAAGTTGTCCTAAAAGCTTCTTACACTATCTTCATATTTTTGGATTTTTTCTTCTTTTTGTTTTTCTGATTGTTTTTTCTTTTTCTTTCTTTCTTTTCATATTTCAAATCTTTGACTTAATTCTTGGGGTCTAGTCTGCAGTTAGATCTCTGTATATTATTCTTTATTTCAGTCAGTGTATGCTTAATTTCTAATTGCCCCCTTTTTATATCCTTGAGGGTCTCACTAAATTTCTCAGAGGTTTCTAGAAGATTCTGGAGTAACCTTATAATGGTGATTTTGAACTCTATATCCAATCATTTGCTTTCCTCCACTTGTGACCTGTTTCTTTGTCTCAGCATTTTGGATGCTTCCCTGTGTTGAGAGAGTGGCTTTGTGTGCTAGATGTCCTAGTGGCTCAGCATCCCTAATTACCTGAGGTGGACACTCTTGGTGTACCCCTTTGTGGGCTGTGTGCACAGCCTTTTTGTAGGTAAGTCTTGATTGCTGTTGGTGTCACTGGGAGTAATTGACCACCAGGACAATTGGCTGTGAGGACCAGCTGCAACTACAGTGGGAGAGCTGCTGTGCACGGGACACTCCTATGGAGCAGGACTTGCTTCAGTGGGGCTTTGGTGCTCACTGAGTCTGCATCTTGAGTGTGTCGCTCATGGATGTGAAGAATTATAATTTGATATGGTCTCACTCTGACCCCTGGGTACACTGGCTCTTGGATCTCCAAGGAGGTGCTAATTTAGCCTCTGTCTGAGGCCACCCAGCAGGAGCTACAGAGAGATGTGCAGATTCCTCCTCTTTATTTGGGTTTAGGAAGTGCCCAGATGAGGCCCAGCTGTGAAGCAGGGCAGGCTGCTGTCTAGGCCTTCTTTTGGAAGCTTTGGTGCTCTTTGACCCAGCTGCAGTTTGTTAGGTTTTAGATTACAAAAGAACAGGCCATTCATATGCAAAAGCCTCTGCTCACAGATTGGGTGGGGTTGTAAATTGGGTGGGGCGGGGTCTCAGGGAATTATCAGGGTGGAACAAATCGCCATGACTACCAATCTTCTCTGCTTTGAAGAGGTCCTGGGGTCTTTGTGTCCCGTGGCCCCCATGCAGGAACAATGATTGCTGCAAGCACCTCTATGAGAAAGCTGCCCTCGCATTCTGGCTCAATGCCAGACAGTCCAGTTTCTCCTCTTATGAGTCTGGGTCCCCAGAGTCTTGCCTAGAACTGGAGTTCAGAGCAGTCAGGAGCTTGTATCTCCCTCCCGATTGAAAAAGACAACAGCATACCCAGTTGCCAGCACATTTTCATGTGCACCTCCATGCCTCTGCACTTTTGCACCTCTGCACCTCCTACCAGTTTCAATGTGCTTTTCTCTTTCCTTCTCGTTGTAGAATTTCCACTCAGCCAGCCTTCCTGTTGTTCTGGATGATATCCGTTTTGCCTTTTAGTTGTAGTTTTGATGTGGTTGTGTGAGGCAGCAAGTACAAGTATGTACCCATGCCACCATCTTAGTTCTTCTCTGTAAGTTCTGATTTTTAAAAATAATTCTCAGCTGAGGATTTTTTTTTCATTGATTTTTAGAGAGAAAATGTAAGGAAAAGGGGAGGGGAAGAGAGAGAGAAAAAACAACAACACATCAATGTGAGAGAGACACATTAATTGGTTGCCTCTCGTTCGCACCCTGACCAGGGCCAGGGATGGAGCCTGCAACCCAGGTGCCCTTGACCAGGAATTGAACCCAAGACCCTTTGGTGCGTGGGATGATGCTCTAACCACTTAGCAGCACTGGCCAAAGGTGTAAGTTCTGATTTTGAAATAATTTTTATACAAAAGTATTGTAAACATTTTTGCTATTTTATTAGTCTTTTACTACATGGGTCCTATATAATAAAAGGCTAATATGCAAATCAGCTGAACAGCAGAATGACCGGTCACTATGACACTCACTGACCACTAGGGGGCAGATGCTCAATGCAGGAGCTATCCCCTGGTGGTCAGTGTGCTCCATAAGGGGAGCACCGCTCAGCCAGAAGCCACGCTCATGGCTGGCCAGCTCAGCAGCAGTGGTGGGAGCCTTTCTAGCCTCCGCAGCAGCACTAAGCCATCAGTCAGACATTCCCTGAGGGCTCCCGGGCTGTGAAAGGGTGCGGTCTGTGCTGAGGGACCCCCCCCCCCCGCCCCGAGTGCATGAGTTTTGTGCACTGGGCCTCTAGTCTATAATAATGTGTCTGATTCCTTGTTATTTGACATCTAGATTAATATTTTTATTTGTTAATAAATATAACTAATTCAAGAAACTTATGCATCTAACTTGTGTGTGTTTGTTTGTTTTTGAAATGTAGCTCTTTAGAATACTTGTTTTGGTAACATTCTTCATTGAAAACTTGTATCATTAGTATAAATTTGTTTACCAGCAGGCTATGAATTATCATTTATTGAAAATGTTACCTGTGATCTTTTAATAATATTTATCAGTTTGAATGACAAATTATGTTTTTGATTTGAATTTATTAACATATCAGTTTAATTTTTTCACATATTGGCTTTTTAAAAAATTCTTTTAAGATTTTTCTTGTTTACTGCTTTAAAAAAAAGCTCAAGTGTATATGTTGCAAATAATCTTTACCAGGTTATTGTTTTCTCTTTATTCTTATAAATTATATTCTTTTTATGCATAGCTTATTTTGTTTTTACCTTGTCACCTTTATCATTTTCTTATGCATATGGAAACTTTTCTTCCTGTCAGATAAATATTGTCCCTTTATTGTTATGAAATACTTCTCTATTATAGCAATCTTTTTTGTCTTAAACTATTTTCTCTTATACTAACATGGCTATTTAAGCATTTTTTATAAATGACTTTTTGCATGGTATATCTTATTTCATTTTCTACTTTATAATTATTTGTTTCTTTGAATTTAAAGTATGTTTCTTATAGACAACATATATTCATATTATGCTTTTTAAATCCTTTCCGACAATTCTGCCTTTTAGTTGGAGTGTATGTAATTGTTGATATGGTTGGATTTTGCTCCTTTGCTTTTTATGTTTTTCATGTCTTTTTTGTTCTTCTGCTTTCTTCCTTTTTTGGTGTTAAATAATTTAAAGATACATTGTTAAATTGTTTCATGATTATTTTTGAGTTATTTTTGAAAGGCTGCTCTATGGACTATAATCTGTATCTTAATTTATCACAGTCTACTTTAGGTCATTGATGGTACAATTTTATTTTTTTAAATAGATTTTATTGATTTTTTTACAGAGAGGAAGAGAGAGGGATAGAGTGTTAGAAACATCAATGAGAGAGAATCATCGATCAGCTGCCTCTTGCACATCCCCTACTGGGGATGTGCCTGCAACCAAGGTACATGCCCTTGCCCACAATCGAACCTGGGACCTTTCAGTCCTCAGGCTGATGCTCTATCCACTGAGCCAAACTGGTTTCGGCGATGGTACAATTTTTTTTTTTTTTTTTTTTTTTTTTTATAATGTAGTGACTTTGCTTTAACTTAGCTCCATTCCTCTTTTGTACTATTTTGACATAAGTGACATATTTTGTACTGTTTTGACATATGATCATAGGAGGGATTTATTATATCTGTATATTTTATAGAGTCTATAATGCAGTGTTATAATCATTGCTTTAAAAAATCTTTTAATGAAATTGAAAGAAAAGAGAAGAATATTTTTTATTATAATTTACTTGTCTTTTAATGCATGTTTATTAATTATTAATAATTTGAGATTTTCCATGGATTCTTTTATTAAAAAATTAATACTGGATTTGTCTTAATGTACAATGAAAACTAATTCAGGCTAGGAATTTTGCCTGAGGAGTGAATCTGTGACCCTAAAACAGACTGAGTTGAACTAAAGATGATATAATTCCTTTTATAGGCATTACCCTGCACTGAAAACTCTGGAACATCTAGAGCATACCTATCTGCCTCAAGTGAGCCACTATCGATTCTGCAAGGTGATGGTGGATAATATCCCTAAGCTTCGCGAAGAAATTAAGGATGTCTCTATGTCTGATCTCAAAGACTTTCTGGAGAGTATCCGCAAACATTCAGACAAAATTGGAGAGACTGCCATGAAACAAGTAGGTCTTGGGTTTATGATAGATTGGCCAATGACTTTGGAAGTATTTTGTTAAATTGTTTTTGCTTTGTGTCTTAATTATTTCTTGTCATTTTAGGGAAGTCCTTCATCTTTATGGGAGCACACAATTAAAAAATGTATTATATTTTCTTAACAGAGAAAGGAATTATTTACTAATATATACATATGCATATATATACACACACATACATACATATATATTTTTGCTGTGTGCATATTCAGTAACTGCTGATTGATGGTAGATGGTAATGGTTTATATTGGGGCTTTGATGAGGTTTTTGTTTGTTTGATTGTTTGTTTTTAAATACTACCTTTGGCTATGATTTGAAGGCCAATATTTTTAAAAGTTCTCGTTCTAGTTAATGAGAAAAATTGTTGCAGATATTTTTGGTTGATTATTTACTATATTTACTAAGCAAACTGTCATGTTATAGATTTGAATATTTCTGTAATTTTTATTTCTGACTAGAGGCCCAGTGCACAAAATTCGTGCACTGCAGGGGAGGAGGTGTCCTCTTGTAGTCTGGGACCCCTCACTTCTTAGGGCCTTCACGCCAGCTGCTCCTTACCATTCGGCTTGCTGCTTCTTAGCGCTGCCCCAGAAGCAGGAGAGGCTGCTGCTACTGCCGCTGCACTTGCCAGCTGTGAGCCTGGCCTCTGGAGGGGCACTCCTTCTGTGGGAGCGCACTGACCAATCAGGGGGTAGTTCCTCCATTGAGCGTCTGTCCCCTGGTGGTCAGTGTGCATCATAGCGACTTGTCGTTCTGGTCATTCCGCTGTAATGGCCACTTAGGCTTTTATTATATAGATATCATTGGGTGTCAATGAAAAAGGCCTATGGTAAATGCTGTGATTTATGATCATAGAAGGGATTTATTTACAGCTTATAAATTAATAAATCTGTTAGAAATATTTAGATTTTTTCCCTTTAATTTCTTCATCTTTAAGTCACCAACACCACAAGCAGTGTCTGGATTTCCCTCGTCATGATGAATAAAAGAACAGAAATGATTTGCAGTGCTACTTGCTTTTTTGAAATATAAGTCACATTGATTTTATTAAAATTTCTCAATATACCTTATGACGTAGCCTGCAACAATAAATAGAGAATTCATTTGTTTATGGGAAGTGTTTTTTATTTTTATTTTTTATTCTGCATATAACTGGGTACTTGAAGAAGTCATTTGTAGATCATATTCTATGAGAAAGGAGGGGGTAGGCCATGTTTGGGTCATATGGTAATCTTTCTGATGTCTGTCTGATTCTGCAGAGATTTGCCTATTGAGAATCCCTTTCCTAAAGGAATGTAGATATTCATTTCCATTTCTTTTTAATTTTGTCAGTATTGTATTTTATACAATGGAAAGTTTAAAACTAATTGATGGTAAACCTGGTAGAAATAATGATATGTGTTTTCAGTGGTGAAGAAACAAAACTAATCATTGAAAATATACCTTTGCACTGCTGGTTGATTTTTTTTTTTTTTTTAATGTTTCTATTTATTTAGAGAAAGGAAGAGAGAGAGAGTGCGTCCGAGAGAGAGCGAGCAGGCTGGGCTAAGGGAACCCCTCCTCCCCGAGTGCACGAATTTTGTACATAGGGCCTTTAGTCTTTTATAATACTCAAATGCTAAGGAAAGTAGGTGGGGGAGAAACTGCCATGTACTTTGTAGATAATGGTCAATAAATTTTTGCTTGAATTCATGGAAGTTGGAAAGGAGAGTAAATGGTTTATTTATAATTTTATGTCAAGCCCAGAATGGTTTTTCTGATGGTTTTCTTTACAATAGTGACTTAATTACTCTTTTCACTATGTTTCCTGTGCCATTTTTAATATGGCTTTGAAAATTACTGCCAAAGGGGAAAGACCAAGGAGTATTACATTTGAGAGGGATTTAAGGGCTAGGCATGGATGCGGCACATTATCACTTCTACTCACATTTCATTGGCCAGAACTTAATTATATGGCTGTACTGACCTGCAAGGGAGGCTGGGAAAGGATATCTGATTGTTTCTAAGAGGAGAAGGACACAGGTTTGGTAGATAATTGCTAGTCTCTGACAGAGTCTACCCTTCCGGTTATCAAATATCTCTTCGTTCTTCCTTGAGCTTTTTCCTAAGAGTGGCAGCCGAATATCCTACCCAGTCACTACATCCATCTCAAAGTCTAGTATCTTCCAGAAATACTCAACATTCTTCATGAGCTCCATATATGTCTCTTTAAGGGCTGGTCACCAGAAACTAGGATGACGAGTTATCTGGACCTGACCTGTGTCCCCTACTATCCCAATTTATAAGAAAAAAGCAAAAAACAGAATAACTACAACACAAACTCATGTTGAAAAGGGGATAATGGAAGACACACAATATTACCTGCTTCATAGCAAATCATGTAATCCTTTTGGGTCAGCATTGGGAAATCATTCCACCGTGTTAGTGAGGGAACTTCTTGTGTAGATGTTGACACCTTGCCCATTGCTC